GGGCTCCCGACAATGATTATAGCAGGTACTTGGAGCGTCACGCTCACCTCATCTCGGACAGCATAGAGGCGAACGCCTCAAGGCTGAAGTGGCAGATTGCGCGCAGGCTCCTCACTCATGGCGGAAAGAAGCATCGAAAGCCCTTGTCCTCCCCCCTCCGTGTTTCGCCTAGTGGCGAGCCTCTTCTCACGCCACAGGCCGACGCCGATGCCTTGCAACTTCACTTTGGACAGATTGAGCGTGCCAAGCCAGCTTCGAAAGAACAAGGTGCAGAAGATATACAATGCGCGAGGCTCGGTGTTTAGGGAAGATATCGGGCTTCGAATTTGCAACGTCATGTCCCATCAGGACCTCCAGAGGGCCTTTGGGTAAATGAAAAGCGGCACGGCTGGTGGGCCAGACGGACTGGACAACGACCTCTTCTTGTTGGAACCCGAAGGGCTCGCGCGAACCGACCATCCCATTATCACCGAGGTGGCGGTGGCGGGTAGAGAACTTTGTTCTATCAAAGAGGGGAGGGTTGTGAGTTTTTACAAAGGAAAAGGATATTCGAACAAAGTTAAGAGTCAACGTAGTATTCTTCTCGGCAGCACCATCAGCAAGGTGTATTTCGAAGTAGATTTCTTGCACAGAGACATCACAAGCACCCTAGTGTTGCTATGTATTTTGATCTCACCGCTGCAGTTAACAGCATTGGGAAGCAATTCATACTCGCGCTGCCTGGCGAAGAGGAGGCCCTCCGTGAGGCGATGCAGACAGTTGATATCCCCGAGGGCCTCTTCTCACTCTCCAACGCTCTTGAGGGTCAACCCCTTCTTGACAAAGAAGTGAGCGACAAACATCTACTAGAGCTTGTTAGGGACAGTCAGGCGAGTGGATGGTGGAAGGTTAACAATACTTCCAACCATGTGCGGCCAGTCTTAGGAATCAGACCTGGTACTAGAATGGCCATGGGCACGTTCAACGTGGCTTTCGCCCCATATCATCCAAGATATTAAGGAAGGCATCAGGAGGGAGGAACTGGAGTGGATGCCACAACAATGTGAGCATCTATTCCCCTCCGCCCAAGACTGGGAACACCAATTTAACTCGGTTGCCTTCGCGGATGACCTCGCTCCCGCGGGGGCCGTGACCGACGCGCGCCAAGTTCCAACCAAGGCCGCGGCGTTAGTTGTCTTTTTGTTTTTAAAGCTGTGTCGAGATACGGCCTGCAGCTGAGCACTAGTAACACCTTGTTGTCGATCTCCTCCGTGGGCAGGTTTTCGAAGAAGGTCAAACTCGAGTGGGCCAAGATCCCTGGGGACCTCGAGATCGCGCCCCCGCTTTTCGGGGTGCCTGTGCGCGTTATTCAGCAGATCAGGGGCCTGGGGGCCATCATGATGGAAGGAGGCGGGGCCAACGTGGAGGTGGCTCACAGGATTGCTCAGATGATGCGAGAACTTCGGCCCTTCCAAACTGCGCTTGGCAGGCTCCAGCAGCTGAGCGTGGCCACCAAGGCTAAGTACACTGAAGCCTTTCCCTTGTCCAAGCTGTGGTGCAACGCTTGCGTATGGGAGCCAGTTAGTAATGCGACCCATGCAAAGATAGCCAGCGCCCAATCGGCTGCTTATCGTACTGCCCTCGGTCTCACCCTTGCCAATAACTCGGAGGAGTGGACCCTCCACGCCGTGGTTTTGCAGAAGGTGGGACAACTTGGGCACATGGCTGTCATGAGGATTGCTTGTCTTAGGTGCCTGCTTCGGGTCCTTCGTTCCGCCCCCGCTGGTCTGCGCGTCGCGCTTGATTGTCTCTGGGATGTTCCTAACAGTTGGGTGCAGGCACTGGAGGAAGACCTGGTTCGGGAGGGCGCGCCGCTGGATGTCCCCAGGAGGGTGGGGGTGGGACCCCCCCTCTCCCCCCGATCCGTCGTCGGGGACCCCCCCCGTAAAAGCGCGAGAACGCCCTATAGGTCCGTTCCCGTTCCCGTTCCCGTTCCCGTTCCCGTTCCCACTCCCGTTCCCGTTCCCGCTCCCGCTCCCGCTCCCGTTCCCGTTCCCGTTCCCGCTCCCGCTCCCGTTCCCGTTCCCGCTCCCGCTCCAGCTCCCGCTCCCGCTCCCGTTCCCGTTCCCGCTCCCGCTCCCGCTCCCGCTACTACCTACTACTACTACTACTACTACTACTACTACTACTACTACTACTACTACTACTACTACTACTACTACTACTACTACTACTACTACTCCTACGCCTACTCCTACTCCTACTCCTACTCCTGCTCCTCCTCCTCCTCCTACTACTACTACTACTACTACTCCTACTACTACTACTACTACTACTACT